GCCCAGGCTCTACCTCCCGCGGCTGGGGCTACTCTTCGAGCCGCGGCGTGCGCCTCAGGCCTCCAAAACTGTTTCCAAACTGCCAAGACCGGAGGTGGGCGCGTGGGGGCTCAGAGGAATGGGCTGGGTTTTGGGGCGTGTGTGTTTGATTGTATGTTTGGACGCTGGGAGCCGTGAGGGGAGACAAGGCGGCTCCAAGACGAGTTGCAATCGAGGTATCTCGGCTCCGGCTTCCTCTTTTGCCCCCCGACTCCCTTCCCCCGGAGCTGAGCTGGGCAGGGGAAACCAGGATTTTAACCAAATTAGCATTCACATTCCTGGGAGGATGTAGCCCTTTCCTGGACCTGTGTGATAGAAGCTTTTTTCTCTGTTTTTATTTTTGGAGAAGAGCGCTCTGTAATTGTCGCGAACACATGCTTCTTTCCCCGCACCCCTCCCCCTTCCTCCAGCCACCAGCGGAGGAGAGAGTCCCCCTCTTTTTGCATTTATCTTTCCTTCCCCTTTCTTTATTAAAGGTCCGGGAGTGGCGGCGGCCAATCAGCGCGCGGCTTCCATTTTGTGAGTTCAACTCCGAGGCTCCCGGGCTTCGCGAGGACGCATTTGCAGCCCTCTCTGCCTCTCCTGTCGGGCGGCCAAGGCGAGGCAGCCGCCTCGCTGGGGCTTCGTGGTGGTGTATTTCATATTGGGGCTCTTTTCGGGGTTTGTAATTTGGCCGTGGGTAGGTAATTGGCTGGAGCAGGGCGGCAGGGCGCGGCAGCCAATCAGCGCGCGGCTTCTATAGGGCTTGAGTTATTAGACGCTGATCTCAAAACATCCTTCATCAGACACCAAGGAGAGGCCAACAGATGAGGGGAGCCATTTTTCTGCAATGGAATTAAATGGCCAAGTGGGTTTTTCCTTTGTTGCAAATGGGGAATGTTTTTCCTTTGACTCCACCATCCAGTTCAGGACGCCTCAGTGTTGTGTTTAACATTTGTCAACAGGCTAAAGGACTCACAATTGGAAGAATGAAGAAGACTTTAAAAAGATCTGGATTTTTCCTTATGACTTGGAATCCATCTTTGTCTTGTATAACTAGGTCATAGCACACCATTAATGTCAGCAGTTAACAATTTTGAATTCAAAAAAACCTAAGTAAATGACATATTTAATTTTTTTCCTCTTTTTTTCTTGGTGGGTGGGGGGAGCTTGGAGCTGTCTTAATCTGTATTCTCTTGACTGAACAATAAATTTATATATATAGTTTCCTCTATTAAACACTTAAACCTGGCCATCTTATTAACTCCTTCTGCTCTCTTTTTAACAAGGTAATGTTTTAAATGTATAGTTTTAGGACTAGCGAAATGGCAACAGAAAATTGTAAGCAGTTGTTATTCTTTTAAGTTGTTACAAACCTTTTACATTGTAAGTACCCAATCCATTCTGTCCTTACGCAGTGCAGTTTTCATGTTAATGTTTCTGAGATGTCCTTTAATTTTCTGAAACTTCATCTGCATGTATGTCTTTGTCGCTCTTGTCGAACATAAGCCAGTTAATATGCTTTTAGACGATTTTGCTTTTATAAAGCTAAGGTTTTAGCTTTAAGCTTTTGAAAATGTTTGCAGCAATAAATGCTAGTCAGCTTTCCTCCCAGTAACATGTACACTTTCTTTGAAAATCGATCTATTTGAAGAAAAACATCTCTGTTTTTCTCGTCTTAGTGGGGGGGTGGGGGGTGAGGAAAAGGAAGACCTCTTTGTGTAAAGAGACTAAAGCCGTCACAGGAAACTAGATTAAAACTGGAAAACAAGTCCTAGCTGGTTCGAGCCAAACACCATCGTTAACTCGGGGGTATTTTCTCTGGTGGTTGGGATGGCCGGTGCGTCTTTTGCCTTTTGTTTGATTTGACTGTGTATTTTCGCCTTTTGTCTCTTAATGACGGTCACACCATTGCTATATCCAGAGCAGTAAACAGTCCTCAGCGAAGCCGCCTTTTGCCAACCCAACCCTGGAAAGTTTGCAGAAGTGGAAGGAGCAGAAAATTCCATGAGAATGTAACTTTTAAAAGGTAATAACAACAAAAAAAGGACACCACCATTCCCCCAATATTCCCAACTAAACAATCCCCTAAAAGATATTTTTTACAATAACACCTCCTAAACCTCCGCCCAGCTTGATCTTCCAGACTCCATGGCACCGGGCTGAGCGGGTAAGTAAAAAAAAAAAAGAAAAAAAAAAGAGTGCCTTTTGCCCCATCGAGGAAATGTTTTTTCGAGCAGGCCAAGGGCTGCAAATGTTTGGGAGCTGAGGGGAGACGGAGGTTTCTGGAGCTTTATGTTTGGCAGCCGGATCGGGAAGGGGTGAGGGGACGAGGAGGGCTCTTCAGGCCCTTTAGACCCTTTCGCCCCTTCTGCCCCGGAGGCGAGAGGACGGTCTCCCAAGCGACCTCGGGCATCTATGGAGCCACCTGCGATGATCCTCCTTGCTCTTTTAGATCTGAGGCTTGGTGGGGAGAAAAAATTTGTTTGGGGGGTAGGGGGCTCAAAAGCCGAGGAAACCTCTCCTTCCGGGCCTAGAGCCGCTTTCCATTTTGATTTTGGGGGTCTCGCCCTCCGAAGCCGGCTTTTTGGGGCTCTGGGGAGCGCCTGCGCTTCCTGAGCAAAAGAAGGACAAAAGGCCAGCGTCCATGTTGGCACCATGACGCAGCATCTCTCCCGCCTGCAGCCCGAGCGCTGCCTGTCCTCCCGGCCGCGCTCGCTCCTCCCTCCCAAACACGAGTTTTATTTTCAGGTTCAGAGCAGAGCCGCGGGCTGGGCCGAGGCCGAGGCTGGGGCCGGGGCCAGGGCCGGGCGCGGGTGGCTAATGGCGGCTGCTCTCTTCTTCCTTCCTCCCTCCTTCCTGGTTGTCGTTGGGAGCCCGCAGCAGGCGGCAGTCCCTCGGCCGGACCGGGCCCCGCAGGGCACAGCTCCTCGGGC